TTYYKCAGACCTTGAAACTAAAARGGTTCATCCATTTTATATTCTCGGTTTACACAATATTTCGCACGATATCCGATTTCAGCGATGAGAAAAAAGCATTTGCGATTCTTTAATGCATCTGTCTTATGCAGCATTGAAAAAATATAATTTTAAAGCTTTACAGTGTTAGGTTTAAAACTTATATAACTCTTAACACTAGAATTACATTGATAAGAATGTACATGGCAGCCATCTTTGTGTAAAGCTTTGGTACAAAAGATGGCGAACGGAAAAACGTCAAATGTGTAATTACTTCACCCAAAACTCTTAGAAATATATTCGTATGAGTATTATTAGCAATTTATGATAATCAATTCCAGCAATTAAAAAAATAATCGAAAGAACGAAGCTTTTAAAAAGGTCCACTTGGATCCGACAGCCTTTGCGATCGTTTCCTTTGTTCCCGTAACAAAGATTTTCTATGAAAGTTGCTTTGAGATTGGTTCAGAATCCAAATAATGAGAATATCGCGCACAGGTTCTCGGATGAACGTGGTCSTTTAAGTTGAGATCGAAAATACAATCTCGCTCTGAAATTCGACTAGTTTAATTTACTATATACAAAGGAATCACATGCGCTCTTTGAGTGTCTTTAATTTTATTGGTTTTCACATATATATGTAGCAATAACTAAAGGTACCAAGGCACTTATAATAGACAAAAAATGAATGTGTTTTGTTAAACTGTTAAAGTCACTGAAGTTGTATACTCTTTTTGAAAAAAATACTAAAATCACAATAATCAATATCAACAACAATGAAAAAATATCCAGAGCTGMAAAGATCAGTAAATTTGAATAGGACCACAGATATATATGGATTAAAAATTTAAGTTTTTTTTTTAATTTGGACGACCCTCCCATAGATAAGCTTTCAAGTGAAGATGTGACCCTCCCCTCTCCCACTCCAACCCCCTACCCCACCCCCCAATTAATAAACGTACCTTCCCTAAGTGAAAGAGGTTTCTTGGGACTAATGAAAATAACTTACTTATAATTCATATTCTTAAAAGAATATAAATAAATTTTCCTTTAGTAAAGGTTCATCAAGCATGAAACCGTTATGCTAATGTTAGACAATTGCTTGACAGACTTAAATGTATAATTAGTTCCAATAGTTTCAGGTCAATTTTTGTTTTGATCAACTTTAGCTGTTTCCAATATTTATTTCTTTGATGCTGTCATGGTCTCTATGGTGACAACTAGTCAACCGTTGTACTTCTCGGAATAACAGGAACAAGTGAAAGTATGTATCAAACAAATGAGAAAAAGGCGAAGAAAAAACGAATACATTATAGAAGCTCAAGGTTTTTGAGGCTTGTTTCCTTTAATAAAAATATCCTAGTAAAAATTCGCATTCTTCAATATTGATGTATTTTGTCATGCTGATTCTAGACAATTGCACTAAAAACACTGTTAATTGATTATTTCCAATATTTTAAGTTCAACAATTCTTTTGACAAACTACAGGTGTTAAATATATTTATTGGGTTGGTGCAGTTAAGGTCTCTGTAGTGACACTGAATAGTCAACCTGCTTCTCGGAACTCCATTCAAATAGGAACAACACCCTTGAAAACCACAATGGCAGCATCTTCTAGCTTCACAGACGACTTGGAAGCACAGTTAACTTGTGCTACTTGTAAGGATATCTTTACTGATCCAAGGACACTACCGTGTCTACATACTTTCTGCTTTAAATGCATCAAAAGTTGGAACGAGGCTTGTCAGAAAGAAACGAAGAGGCTGAGATGTCCAACTTGTMGAGCAGTAGTCAASATCGAAGGAGACGACATCTSGAAGCTTCCGTCTTCGTTTACTTACAACTCRCTTCTKCAGCTATTCAACGTCATGAAGACTGAYGAATACAAYMASCAGCAGCTKCCAGAGTGTGTARGTTGCAGCAAACGAAGCRTATTGGTTGGATTTTGTCCTCAATGTGAAGGGATGATTTGTAATCAATGCATCRACCAACACAAAACAGTAAAGCCATTGATAAAAACCCATCAAGCAACGCTGTGGAGCGAATTCAAGACACAAAATGTCAACAGCTACATCAACAATCAAACCATTTGCAAGGAAAAATATCACCAGAAATGCCGTCTCGATTACTACTGCATCACTTGCWAGAAGTGTATTTGTCAAAAATGTGGCACAACTGCRCACAGCAGCCATGAMAAGGTCAGCATCGAGGAGGCAGCTGAAGATGCTAAAAACCTTATCAGAAAAGAAAAGGATCGACTGAATGAGCTGCTTCTTGGCTACAAGAAAGAATTAAAACTGTCCAATGAAAATATGACAAGGATTCAAAGCGAGGTTGACACAGCAAAGGCAAAAGTACGAAATGACACACAAGCTATGATGAAGATTCTGCAAGACCGCCAAAAAGCTTTGATTGTTAACTTGGACGGCCTCCTTGCAGAACAAACAANTTTAGTAAAGGTTCATCAAGCATGAAACCGTCATGCTAAGACAATTGTTTGACAGATTTGTATGTATAATTAGTTCCAATATTTGTTTTGACAAATTTTAGATGTTTCAAATATTCATTACTTTGATGCTGTCATGGTCTCTATGGTGACAACTAGTCAACCGTTGCACTTCTCGGAATCACAGGAACAATTGAAAGTATGTATCAAACAAATGAGAAAAGGGCGAAGAAAAAACGAATACATATTATAGAAGCTCAAGATTTTTGAGACTTGTTTCCGATAATAAAAAAATATACTGATAAAAATTCGCATTCTTCAAAAGAATATTGATGTATTTTGTCTTGTAATTCAAACTTGCCGTCATTCTGATTCTAGACGATTGCACTACAGCTATTAATATTTGATTATTTCCAATATTTTAAGTTCAACAATTCTTTTGACAAACTACAGGTGTTTGATATATTCATTGCTTTGATGTAGTTAAGGTCTCTGTGGTGACAACTAGTCAACTTGCTTCTCGGAACTCCATTCAAATAAGAACAACACCCTTCAAAACCACAATGGCAGCATCTTCTAGCTTCACAGAAGACTTGAAAGCACAGTTAACTTGTGCTATTTGTAACGATATCTTCACTGATCCAAGAACACTACCGTGCCTACATACTTTCTGCTTTAATTGCATCAAAGGTTGGAACGAAGCTTGTCAGATAGAACGAAAGAGGCTGAGATGTCCAACTTGTCGAGCAGTAGTCAAGATCGAAGGAGACGACATCTCGAAGCTTCCGTCTTCGTTTACATACAACTCGCTGCTTCAGCTATTCAACGTCATGAAGACCAAGACTGACGAACACAGCCAACAGCAGCTTCCAGAGTGTGTAGGTTGCAGCAAACGAAGCGTATTGGTTGGATTTTGTCCTCAATGTGAAGGAATAATTTGTAATGAATGCATCGACCAACACAAAACAGTAAAGCCATTAATAAAAACCCATCAAGCAACGCTGTGGAGCGAATTCAAGACACAAAATGTCAACAGCTACATCAACAATCAAACCATTTGCAAGGAAAAATATCACCAGAAATGCCGCCTCGATTACTACTGCATCACTTGCTAGAAGTGTATTTGTCAAAAATGTGGCACAACTGCGCACAGCAGCCATGACAAGGTCAGCATCGAGGAGGCAGCTGAAGATGCTAAAAACCTTATCAGAAAAGAAAAGGATCGACTGAATGAGCTGCTTCTTGGCTACAAGAAAGAATTAAAACTGTCTAATGAAAATATGACAAGGATTCAAAGCGAGGTTGACACAGCGAAGGTAAAAGTACGAAATGACACACAAGATCTGATGAAGATTCTACAAGACCGCCAAAACGCTTTGATTGCTACCTTAGACGGCCTCCTTGCAGAACAAACAACAGCAAATGAAGACGAAAAAAAAGATATCAACGCCAACATCCATCAAGTCACTGAAATGAAACATCAGTGTGAAACAACGGAAGAGAAAAACTTAGAAAAATTTATATTGGAAAGCTACGAAAATTTACTAGAAGTTTGTAAAGCTACAGCGCAAAAGAAGTCCATCTTGTCGACCAAACCAGTCGAGCGAAACACAAGCATTCTTTTCATTCCAAACACGGAAGCCGCCCCCATGATGCGAAAATTCAAACT